GTGTGTGTGTGTGTGTGTGTGTGTGTGTGTGTGTGTGTGTGTGTGTGAGAGAGAGACTCACCACACGTGCAGCTGCGCTACCAAGAACCAAGAGTTGAGTGTGTCTGGGAGGGAGCACTCTGAAACAAACACACAGCGATAACCAGCGTTACGACATCTTTATTTGCATGGCCAGCATTATTATTGTTGGTAATAATAGTATTTTAAGATCCATTAATTGATTTGTCGAGCTGTTCTGGTGGGTGTCAGTAAAGCTTCCAAATGATTAGATTAAATATAAAAACATGTTTGTTTTAGTCATTTGCAAAGCTAGTTATTTTAATATCTAAATGTGGTCAAGAATTCACATAAATAAAAAAAAAAAGATAGGAATCCAAACAAAGGCAATAAACATCATCAGGTAGAGACAAACACTCCCTCGGATGCAGCGACACAAATTTAAACTGTTTTTGAAAATAGAAAGTGATGTGAAGACGATGCTAAAGCAGTAAAAGCTCCTAAACGTGAGGAAATATGAGCCTGAATGCATTTAATCTGATTCATAATGTCAGGCGGTGAAGGGAAGCAGAATATTTAATATTTATTAAGTCTTTACATAACACAAAAATCATCTGGTGCTTCAGGTTCATATTTTATAGACAACAAAGAATCTGCAGGTTAAACACTAATAAAACTAATAATTAGATACAGCCTTCAAGCATCACGTCCGATAGCAGCAGCCCACATCTGTGAACTAATCAGAGGACACTACAGACGGGCCATACGGTCTCCAAGTGACGGAGCAATATTAGAGAGAGTTGGTCTCCGTGTGCCAGCTAGTAAAGTGTCAAATAAAAGTTTGGACCGGGACGACTCCGACGTTTGGACCGGGACTCTGAACCGCTCCTCTGCCATTTTAAACAAATGATTTTCCAGCTTTTCCTCAGCGTGTGTGTTCAGTGTTATCGGCAGGATGTTCTCCTCTACGCTCAGACAACTTTCTCCAGATCATTTAGGGACCCGTGTAACGTCTCCCAACGTCTTTTAACATCACAATCAAGACGTTTGATGCTGGTCGGAGCAGAACAACAGCTTAAACAATTACAACCAATGAAATGAAGACGCTAAGAAAGAGGACGCTCAGGGATACGGTATGTTTGATGCCGTTCTATCAGGACCTGGACCTACAAGCGATATAAACAGCTTTTCCAGCCTTTACGTCACTCGTTCAGCGCTCAAAGAGACTCAACGTGCATGTTTCCTTCTCTTTAATGACTGATGTCATCATAACTGTTGTTCTCACTACAGACATGTTCTAGTTCTGTCTCCTCTACTCATGACGGTTGTGTTTCATAGAGGAGCAGCACTTTTGTTTCTCACTTACTGTCAAAGAAGTCGTCGTAGTTGATTCTCTCTACGCAGCACGTGTACATCCGCAACGCAGCGATCTTGATTTTCTGAAGACAAAAAGGGAGAAAACAATAAATGAGTAAGATCATAAACATGTTTAACAGGAAACACACTGCAGCTAAAATGATTGTCCACGATGAATCAGTAATTATATATGTATGCAGTAGATGGACCTGCTTTAACAGCAACTCATAGGACCCTAGCCCTATTTTTAGCCCTCTGCTCGAAAATTGCATAGCCATACTCAAGAGAGTCCCCAGCTCTAACTACAAGGTTTATTTTAATAATTTTGATGCTGGAATACTGGTAACACTTGTGAGATGTGTTGAATTGTGTAAATATTGTGTGTATGTTACTGGTTAATAACTGATGTGACTTATGGCACAGCTCAAATTGAAAAATTTCTAGGTTCGCCTGAAAAAAAGCACTTGTATTGAACATTTTTTTTTTTTTAAATAATGCAGCTGCAAGCCTAAAACTATGCCACAGACATAGAACAACACGTTTTACATGTCCCCACAACATATTTTACTTTGATTGAGTGAAGCAGGCCAGCATAAATGGTCATAAAAATCAAAATTTTGATTTTCGGAACCAGCTGTTGCATTGCTGTATACTAATTATATATACTATATAACTAAATATTAACTATATATTCACTTTTCTTATCACTAAGAGTGTTCAATAATCCTAATAAAGCAGTTTGACACCATTTTGAATAATTTTGAGCAGTTATGATGTGTCATATCTGTCATTCATAACAATAAATGGCTCATAATGTGTGTCTATGTGACCCTGGTAAGGCCGATTTACTTGTGTGAGACATTTTTAGATGCGGGATAGTCCAACGGGAGCCATGTGGGGGTGTTTGATCGTATCCGGGTCTGTTTACTGACTAAAAATCACAAAATGCAGGGCGAACCCCCCTCTCTACATGGATTGCTCCACCCCACAGAATCGTCTGCCATTTTGTGATTCATTCCGCCAGCGCATTGATCTCACTCACAGACATGCAGCAGAACACGGCGGGCAGAGCTGTGCAAAAATCGGCTCGAATAAATCCGTTTTTCATCGCCAAAACCGTCAAAGCGTAATTTTTTTCCCCAATTTTTTTTCTCGTGACCTGCGGCTGATGTTGGCATGTATACCCATAGCTTTTGAACGGTTTGAAAGAGTGTCATTTGGACGCCGCTGTGCGTTTCCGGGTCGAATCGTGCCCCTCCTGCATGTGTTCATCCGCCATGTGCGATCCTGCTCCGTGATGAGAGAGCCATAGAGTGAGCATAGGTCGTTGACTTTTGGCCAAAATTGTGGCAAATCTTCTAGATATCTTCCAGATATGATATTAGTTCATGTATAATTGTGTTTGCAGTGTTTACAATGGCTGGTATGATGATGTTGCTCGGACCTTTCCCGTTTATTCGATATTTAATATGTCTGAGCAATAATCATATTTCTTTATGAAAAATGCTTTCTACGACACGCTGAATGCTGCACACTCTAAAACAGCGCCCCGTGGGGGGCTGTCGGGTCCTATGGGTTGGATGATTTGAGTACTGAATGAAGTTATTTAACACTGAATGAAAAATCTTTAATTGATGCAACCGGCTGGTTTGTTTCTGTTATCTGAAATCTATTTGATGTTTTTAGCTTTTTGCCGTTTTTTTTTTTTTTAACCACCTGGTTAAATAAAGGATGTATAAGAGATAAATAAATGAATTCCTTTGAACTTTTGACAGAGTAACAGTTATATAAGATAGATAGATATCTTACACACATACTGTATAGAAGCAGTGTGTGCAGCAGTGAGAGATGCTGTGGTGTGTTTGAGTTGTTATATGTTCACATGGTGGGAACAATATTTAATAAATGAAGCTCCTGCTGGGAGGTCAGTCCTCCTCTGACCACCGCAAGCACGCACGAGGAGAACCATCGTCAGAACCATCGTCAGTAAAACTTGATTTACACTGTGATGGTTAACGTTAAAACTTGATTTAC